AGCCTTACCGCGGGTTCCTGATTGGTTTTAGGTCTGGACTTTGACTAGGTCATTCTACCTCTGGCTGTATGTTTCATTTCGTTGCCCTGAAAGTCAAACCCCAGATTCAAGTTGTTTTGGGTTTTTTTGCACACTCCACAAGGTTTTCTTCTAGTATTGGTCTGTCTTTAGCTCCCTTACACTCCAAATGAACTTTGACCAGCTCAAGATGAAACCACAACATAATGCTGCCTCCACCATGCTTCGAAGTGTGGATGGTGTGTTCAGGATGATATGCAGTGCTTAGCTTGCAGACCAAAAAGTAAAACTTTGGTCTTTTCTTGACTATTGTTTTATATTTTGTGTTGTTTGTTTGTTTTGATTTTTTTTTTTTTTTTTCACTTTTTGAATTCAAAACTGCAAGTTGTCGTATTGATGGATTTGAACTGCGGCTCTCTGCAGCTCCTCAATAGTTGAGGCCAGTGACCCTTTGACTGATACCCTGATTAATACTTTCCTCTCTTTGCCTGTTGGTTTAGTTGAACAGCTACGTTTTGGTAGATTTGTGGTTGCGCCACTGAGTAGTGCTGTGGGTGATAATCCAGCTGTGTCTGGTGTTTTCCTCGTTCATGTTTGGTTTATTAAAACATCTCAGGCTTTCTATTGGGTAGATTTGGTTTGATTGAGAACAGAGTTGCGACATTTGTTACATTCTCATCTGGTGCGGTTCGCTTTCAAAGAAATAACTGAAGAGGAGATGAGTGCAACTTCCTTCCTCCGTTTAGCGTTTGTAGGATTTCTTTTTTGTTTTGTTTTGTTTTGAGTAAAAGACAGCGAGTCATTTCTCCTAAACTTGCCTATTTGTTTTGGTTGTATTAACCCAGAATATCCTGTGTAGAGCAGCGACTTATAGAGAGTGCCCTGCTCTATAGTTCGTTTCGTGCTTTTGGAGCGCTCTTCAGTCTGCTTGGCATTCACACATAGCACTTTGATCTGTGCCAGAGTTCATGTCAGCCGAACAGAGACCTAGGTTTTTATGCGGACCAGTTAGATTGTTTTGCTTCGCATCAGAGTTTGTTTACGTATGAACTAGTTTGATTAAAACAGATTTAACAGGGCTGATGTGAATGTAATCTAAATGACCATCCACTGCACACACTTCCAGTTTAGAAAACCATCCCTGACTTTGTTTGGCTCTCAGAGAATCCCATTAGAACACACTGGGATTGAAATGTGACAAAAAGGGAAAGTTTAAGGGTTATGATTACTTTTGCAAGATGCTGCAAGTTCTAAGATGATATTAAATGCTTCAGTTTTTCTTTAATAGCGTTAGCCAAATCATGGATTCATTTCACAATTTCTGCTCATTATCATTTTTAAGTACATACAAAAGGGGAATTGCAACATTTAAGACTAGGATTATAGTTTTTTTTTCCTAACTGTATTTTCTTTTTCTCTGTTTTGCTCCCCCCCCTCAATAACAGCTCACTAAACTTCACCAGCTGGCCATGCAGCAGAGCCCCTTCCCCATTGCACACGGCAACCAGGGCTTCCAAGGTAGGTGGATCTCCTGCTGCAGAGCGTTTTCCACTTGCATGTGTTGTATTTCTTCTCATTGGGCTTCCTTTTTCTTCTTGAAGCTGGGATGGATGCCTCTGCACAAACTGGCTCTCATGAGCTGACCATTCCAAATGATGTAAGTATTTTCTGCCGCAGTAAACATTGCTTTTAAATGTGATGGGGTTTTTTTTTTGTCTTACCTTTTCTCCTTCCCTAGCTCATCGGCTGCATCATAGGCCGTCAGGGTGCAAAGATCAACGAGATTCGTCAGATGTCAGGGGCCCAGATAAAAATTGCCAACCCCGTGGAGGGCTCGACTGACAGGCAGGTCACCATCACCGGCTCCCACGCTAGCATCAGCCTGGCCGAGTATCTGATCAACGCTCGGTAAGACCGCAGCATGAACTTTACTGCAGCAGGAAGGGATTTTATTGTTTTATTTTTACGGCTTATTGCCTTTTTAACCCGACTTTACTAGGCTTTAGTTTTCTTGTGTGTGTTTAACCGTCGAACATCTGACACCAGCTAAGAAAAACAGAAGGTTTTATGGAAGGTGGCTCTGGCCTTAGCCCAGCTGCGTTGTGGATATTGCTGAACTGTTTCTTTGCATCGGAGTGTGTGAACACACCCCTCTAACCTTCCCGTTGTAATGCAGCTACTGCCTGCACACTCTCTTCCCTTTAATGAGTTCATTGCTGCAGACTTTTGTGTTCTCCTGTGATGTAAATGAAGACCGGAGAGCCTTTATTTAAATTTATACAGCTTAACTAGAGAGGCAACTCTGGTGATTTATTAAGGCTGGCGGGGAAAAGATAATGTGAAGTCTTCAGATAAATGATGCAAAACTGAAACAATTCACTGGAACTTCACTAATCTATCAGCAAAGTTAGGGCTGCAGCTGACGATTATTTTAGTAATTGATTATTCTATCATTCTTGTGACTGCTTATCAGATTTTAAAAAATGCAAATTTATACAGTGTTAGAGATTCATTAAAAGATGCAAATAAACAAATCAATCCTGATATAGCACTGCTTTCGTGTACATTTGATCATTTGCATCAGAGGAGCTAAAAAAAATACTTCTAACATCAACCTTTCTGTTCAACTTAACATTCAATCAAGCACTGATCTGTTAATTATTATTGGATTAATAATTGAATAGCAAAAGGTGCTGAATATGAGTTTTTGCTTCCAGAATTTGAACCAGGTGAAGCTAAAAATGCCACATTCTTACAAAGAAGGTTTTTCATCTGAAGAGTAAAGGTGCGTTCACATCAAACGCGTTTTGAGCGTCAGGAGCGTCTATGTGGAGGCGAGGCGAGGGCCCATTACGGCGCTAAATTGCATCTAGCCCGGCGCAATTTAAACCATTTGGAACGTTTTGAGCGTCCGACACGTCCGACAAATAGGCCAGCAACGTAAAACAGCGGGCAGAGCGATTCTGACGAGCCCTCGGCGCGCCTCCACATGGACTTTGAATGCAAACCAGACACACCCGACGCTGAAAACGCGTTTGTGAACCCACCGTTACTGTTCAGAGGAAAAACCTTCTTTGTCAGTAAATATGTGGCATTTTCAGCTTCCACGTTTTGCGTGTCTAAAATGTCTTTTCTCGTCTCAGGCTTTCTTCTGAAGCTACTGGCCTCGCAGCCAACTGACATGGAGGATCTTCATCAGCATCTACTTTAACCCCTGCCCCAACTTTTTACCAAGAGGTCCCTTGTTGAACTTAATGCAAAAACCAAGTACTATAAATTCACAGCTTTCTCCTGCATTGGTTTAGATATCTACTTCAGTTGTAATTACACCATCATGCTATTGATATTTTATTTATTTATTATGTTTTTAAATTCTGTTGGCAAATAGTTTTCAAAGATCTTCTTCTGTTGTATTTTTCCTCTTATTTTACTGTATATCTGTAAGATCTTCTTGATAAACTGTAAGTATAATGTTTTAGAAAAATCTGAAAAGGCATAAATAATGTTTTTCTTACGTCAGATTTTTCTTAGAAAAATTGAAAAAAAAGGAAGAAAAAAAAACTCAATAACATAATAGATGGACTGTTCTTTCCCCTCTTTTTAAATATCTATTTATTTTTATTTAATATACAGTTCCTTGTACAAGTAGAATTCATTAATATTTGGCATTTGCTGTTTGAAGCTGTACTTCCTGAATGAGGCATTGTGGGTCTAACGGGTTTTAGTGTGCGATAAGGAGCTGAATATGTATGCAGGAAAAAAAAAACACTTTAGAAGTCTGAAGGTGATTTCTCTTGTTTAGTGCGGGTTGAAGGAACCTTTTAAGCTATATCATGTCTCACCTCTAACTTGCTCAGTAATCGTTTTGTGTCATTCCTGTGTTTCCATCCGTTTATTTTGTTAATCTGGACTTTTGGAGCTTTGTGTTGATCTGATAAAGGTTGGTGGACCTTGGATCGCCAGGAGTGAGCCTGGACGTGAGGAAAATGTTTTTCTTTTTCTCAGAAATAACCAAGACCATAGTGGTGGTGTTGATGATGACATTGAAATATTTGTTTTAAATAGAGAAAATATTTTTTTTAACTGCAGGGCTGGGGAATGCTGCAAGGGGCAAAACTAAAAGACATAATGGTCTTTATAAGTATATTAAGCTGAAGTATTAAATTATGATTAACTAGAAGGAGAACTATAGAATTAACACTAGTTTCCTGCTATCCTTTTTTGCCTGGGTCAGATTTTATTTTTTTTATTCTTTGCAGGATGAAGAAACTCACGTTTTTTGTGCACGTTTTCAAACTATTGTAGATCTGGGTGCAATTAAATTGTCGAAGAATTGAGATGCAAAAATAAAAGATGTGAAATGCTTAAACAGTCCTTTGTCATTCTTATTCAGGTGCATTAATAAATTGGAACATTTTGATTTAATTTTCAATTCAAACATTTATAGATTTTATTAGTAAACATGCATTGAGTCTGTATGTATTTAAGGAAGAACTAATTAGGTTTTACAGTAGTTGTGTACTATTGTATAATGCAATTTACTCAAAATTATCAAGTTAAGTTGTGTGCAGCTTATACATGGTAACATTTATTATTTTTGAAAACTTGATTTTTTTTTTTTTTTGAGGCAGTGAAATGAGTTTGCATACTTTTTTTTAAAACAAAGTCAATTTACAGTGCATGTTTTTCACTCTAAGACTTTGTGAATAAATATAGTTTAATAACATCATAGCAGTAATTTATTCCATGCTGTCTGGGGATTTAGGCCTACAGTAAGCTAAAGAGAATTGGCCTGAGCACTGAACCCTGTGGCGCTATATATAACCCTGGAATGTGAATAAAATTATTTACATGAAGGAACTAGAATTTGTCAAAAGTTGCATTTTTTTAGACCAATTCCTGAAATAAATGCAGTTTTTGACAATTCTCATGTATGTTTTTCTGAAGTGTAAAGAAAAGACATTGCAACATTTTGGACATGCTTAAAGTCATTGAAAATAATTTATTTCTCATTCAGCTGTCTCACGTGACACAGCAACAGAATAAACTGCAGCCATAACATGGCCCCTTATTTTTAAAGTTCACACATTTGTTTTTAACCAATACGTTATTTACTCTTGCTCATTATATTCTGCTTTTGATATAATTTCTATGGTACTGGTACAATGTGCAATGCTGTATAAAAACAAAATAGATACTTAAACCCAACGGATACTTAGTTTTCTAGAAACCACCATGGAGAAGTGCTCTATTATTTATTCAGCTACTCCTGCAGTCGCCTTAAAGGGTCAAAGGAAAGGTTGAGGTTTCTAAGAGGCCTGCAAACATCATGAAGTCCAAGGAGGCCTTTTGGTTCATTACAAAAAAAAAAAGATCACCTCCTAATTTACACGTCGATTAATATTAAGATTCAACAACTGACTTCTTTCAATGCTTCTTTCATGGAACGTCAACATAAAGGGAAACTTTCAAACTTGGAAGTGTTTGTGCACCCTACCAAGGTGATAAGCCCTTTGCTAACCCTGTAGTTGCATGAAATAAAAAAAAGCCAAAATGTTCTATTGAGCTTTGTGTAGCTTCAGTAACAGTTCACTGGGTTCTTCATATCTTAAGAACTGGCTGCACAGGATTTAATTTCAGCAACATGATCTAGTAAGGTTAAAACTAAACTTTGCCTCTTGTGAATAAGTCTGCAGGAGGTCAAAAGTGGAGAACATATGGCATTAGAAGCAGTGTGTGTTTAACTATGTTACAACTTTGCAGCTGCTTAAGACTAACTAAGGCTGTTCAACACTAAACAACTTCAGTTAGCATTAGCAGTTATTAATGTTATTAATGGTGAATTTTTACAAATGAGGTAAAATTGATTAAAAAAAAAATCTTGCTTGATCAAAATCGATTCTTTTGTGATATTGGTCAACAAGGACAAAGTGCAGTGTGGAAAAGGTTTAAGTTCTTTAGTTTGTTTCAGACTTTTGGGTCAGCAGGCCCAAAAGACTTTAGTTATCATTAGCAGCTAGCATAGTGTGCATTGTAATACATATTAGCGCCAAAGTTTTACAGGAGATAAGAATTGGTAAAAATGAAAAAGAAAAAAAAAATGGCCTTGCCTAAACAAATTAAGTTGTCAGTTGTGATATAAGTAAGGACAAGGCGCTGTAATAAAAGGTTTAAATTGTTAGTTCATTAGAACAAACAGTTAGCGTTAAGAAATGGTTCAGTTTGCATTGAAATAAACTTTAGAGCCAAATGTTTACAAGTAAAAATTGGCAAAACTTAAAAACATATGTTCCTGCTTCAACAAATCCGCTTTCGCTTGAGAATGTTATCGGGAAGGACAAAGCGCAAAATTAAAACGTTTATGGTCTTTAGTTAAAAAAATAAGAAAAATCACTTAGCATTAGCAGCTAGCACCAAGCGTTTTGCAAAATCAGTGCCAGATTTTACAAGTGAGAAAAGTTGGTGAAGTTGAAATAAAAAATAATCATTTTATCTTTATAAATGTGATGATGGTCACCAAGGACAAAGTGTAGTCGTAAGACGGTTTAGGCCTGGTTCCTCAGATCAGCAGGACCAATAAACCTAAGTCAGCATTAGCAGCTAGCACAGGTGCATTGGGATTAATAACTTTGAAAAATTGGTGGAAAAAGGAAGATATGTCTGCCCTTCCTAAAATGTTTTAAAGCAATAATATACCGTCATTTTTTTTGTAATTTAGCACACTTTGAATCAGACTTGGGGAAATCAAAAACACAAGATTCTGTGCAGACATTTTATGTTTCTATAACAACGTCAAGTTGAAAATGGTACAGGTGCATTTTGAGTGAACCCTAAAATCTTCCTTTTTGTTGCTGATTTACTAAACCCAATAAAAACCATATGCATGTCGTTAGTTTAAAACTCAGTAAGAGTTCAGAAATAATGTATCACCTACTGAATTCCCTGTTAAAGTGTTTTTATGATGGTTTCATTTGTCGTTTTGGGTTTTTTTTTTTTTCTTTTGTGATGCCGACATTTATTAAACAAAAAGTAGATAACTAAAGTAAGACTTTCAGGATTAAAAAAGTGTAAACTTTCACAAAATAGAAAACAGACACATTCAAACCATAAATAAACCATAACCATAAACCATAAATGTAGTCATGCATTTGTTCACAGGGCTGCATACAGTTTAATCTTACATTTTATCTTACATATAAAATAAAGTTAGACATTTCTTGTGGTTCTTACTGTATATTTACATTATTTCTCATTAGTATTTGATGCATTAGAGTGTGGAGAGTCATGGATAATGCTCCCAGAGTGAGGGTTAAAGTGTTTTAAGGACTACTTTAAAGAGTGTAGTATCTTCTTGTGCATGCGTGCACATCTAATAATGGGTTTTTGCTGAACTGGCGTAGTGCCTAAGGTTAACGTGGTAACTATGTTTCCTAAAAACAACCCTACTTAACGTAAATGACATTTAACTGATGTCACAAGCTGCCAAAATACAGTATCTGATTATATTTGTCGTGTTTACGCCAAACGACCTATGTCATCTGATACAGGTTTACCCACCAACAAACTTATGAGACACCATAAGCTACTTGTCATTGTCTGAGTGTCGTTGTAGGTGTGGTTCTTCATGGCAACAGTAATGTACTGCACTGAGAGGTTGGTGTGCGCCTGTGATGGTTGCTCATAGTAGGGTGGCCGGAGGTCTTTGTTTTGCACGTGGTGATCTATGGAGGATGTCCTGTGTGGGGCGTCTGTGGAGACCCTTGATAGGGTTGGGATGGCGACACCCACGCTCCGGCACTGGGAGGCCGACTGGGCTCTCCGCTGCCTGACTGGTCCAGCTCGGCGCTGTCGCAGTCAGAATCATCACACAAGGCCCGGTTCTGAAGAAAAAATGAAAAGAGAAACAGTCACATCCAGGATATACGTGGAAAATGATATTCAGTTATTTGAGTTATTTTTTACAGTGGTGTGTACACTTTTTGGCTTGAAAACTATTTTTCTCATTCAAATCTTCCCAAATTATATGCTATTTTGTCTGGATTACACACAATCGGTTTATATGGATTAATTTAGCAAATTTGTTGTTGGGAGGGAACAACAAATGCTAATTTAACCCTTTCATGCATGAATTATGATCCTTTATGTCAGGATTTTTTTCCAAATTTTTTTTTGTAAAAAAAAAAAAAAAAAAAAACATATTTTATATATATATTTTTTTTTAGGTGATAATTTGTAATTTCTCCAAATACAAAGCTGTTATTTGAAAAACACATGAGCAGTGTTGTTCTTTAGGGGTTATCTGATGTCACAATATTTTTTTTACCTGCCAGAGTCGTCTACAGTAGAAGGAGGGACCGGGTCGGTTGGCATGCTTTTTTTTTGTCTGTCGGCCATATTGGATTTAACAATAATAATTTCTTGCACTTGCATCTGTTGGCCAGTAGTTGATGGTATATTTTATGATGCATTAGTGTCCACTTCAGTGGTCTGTGTGCATTTATAACATAAAAATCCACAAGAAGAGCAAGAAAATGACTTTTAGATACTGTCCATTGTAGTGACCACTAGCTTGGTGGAGTAGATATTGTTGTTTGTATGATGAAAATAATAATAATAATAAAAAACTCAATTATATACTTACGTTTAAAAAAAGAACTAGCAATTAGAGCAAATCAAGTAGTCACTAATTTTATCTTAATATAATCCCAGTTAAATCTACATAATTTTTTTTTTTAAATTAATCAAGTCAAATCATTGCTGTTCTCTTCTTCCAAAATGTATATGACGATGCAGTAATTTAAATTTTAAGTACGTACCGCTATTTTCAAGTACATCTGTGCTACAGTAAAGTTTCCAGTTTAAGTTATTTCAACATTAGAATCAGACTAAGTCAACTTAATGTGCAAAAAGAAACAGACGTACATTTTGCTGCATTATGACCACCTCAGGAGTTTTATTTGGTCCAGTAAATAATATTCTTTCTCCTGAGCCAACCCAGTGTAGCTCTGTTCATAGGTTCATGAATGTAGACGGGAGTTTTGATTTGGCATTCTTTCTTATAAGATCTTTAAATCATGGGACTGTTTTATAACTTAATCTTGTTTTAAACTTCTCCAAAACCTTCACCATAACCTGTCTGTTCACTAATGTTCTCTAAAAACCAAGTGTACCTCCTCAGAAAAGATGGATTTAAAATATGTTATTTTTTTTTAGTTTTGGCAGTTGGTTGCAGTGGATTTTTTTGTGAAGAACACATATATATAATTTACTCCTTTCAAAGCCTTTATATGTAAATTATTTGTGACTTTTCTGNTGNTTTGTCGTATAAAACAAAATAAAATTTTTGGGTTGTTTTGCTGTAACATAAAATAACAGGTGCCAATGAGATTCTTACATCTAATTTTAGCAACATATAGTTTTTTTCTTTGTTTTTTTTTTGTTTTTTTTTTGAGTTAGTTGTGTTGCTCTTTTCTCTTTCCTGAAAGCACAACACTAACTGACACATGCAAACCTCTGTGGAGTTTCCTTTACCTCATTAGGATTCTGCCCTGTGTCCAGCTGAGCTTTGCTCTGGCCCGGAGCGCCATCCCTTTCCGACAGGCCGTCAGACGCTTGTGCAGGATCGGTGTTGTCTGCCGGGATCTCTGACCCCTGGGAGAGGAGGTCATCGCTGCGGTCATCCAACCTGTCGTCCGTGTTCGTGCTGACGACGTCGGGCGTGCCGCTGTGAGAGTGGTCAGTGGTGTGGCCCTCCTCGCCGTCTGACACCGAGAGGTTTTCTGAGCTGAAGGTGGAAACCGACTGGCACTTGGTGATGCTGGTCGGACGGCTAGAGAGACAAATAAATAATTTTTTTTTTTTAAATCCTAAGATTTAATAGATTCTTGTTTCTGAAAACCTAAAAATATGACAATCTGTCTAAAGCACAACACTGAGATTAGATCAATATTTACTTATTTATTTTATATTTAATAAAATGTAATATTCTATCAAAGTATATTGACTCAGTATTATTTAGTAGTGTGGCAGATTTACTGTATTTATTGTAACAATAGAGAAAATCAAGTTGGTGATTAAAATCCGTCCAGCTGCTTCTGCCCAAAATTACAAATGGCGACAGAAAGAGCTGTCAGTTACTGGTTGCTACGGTAACCACCAACGAACTTACGTAGCAATAAATGTCAGGGGGAAACAAGTTTTTGACAAAACAAAACTAACTCAAAGAATAAATAAACCGATTTCGACAAACTTCACATCTGTAACATTCATAAAATAAAACCCTGTAACATATACACTGCCTGTTCTGTGTTTAGAGATGTATCTATATGGACGCTTAGCTGTTTATGATATAGCAAATTGACGTTTGAGACAAAGGGTAGATTATAAAATACTTTTTTTTTCTTCCACTTACAACTTTTCACTCAAAACTTTTGCTTATATGTAACATGGTAATGTTAAACTGTAATTTGAGAGTGTCAAACTCACTTTCATTTTGGGTCATATAAAGATCCTGAATGTCCTCAAAGGGCTCTGTGTGGTAAGATGTATTGATAAAACCTATAAACAAACTGTTGAAATACTACTAAATTGTTGTCTCTGGATAAAATGAGTACTTCCTGAAAGCAGTATACAGATAAAAGCTTCTTTGATTTTATTGATTAAATAATATCCAGGCACACAACTATTTCTTTTTTTGTGGCCCTCTACAGTCTAGAAGGCCTCATAAGAAGCTACGGCAGGTCTGATTTGGCCCACGGGCCTTGAGTTTGACACATGTGCTGCAAATGAATGAAATAAACAAATAAATTAATTAAAACCTGGGAAAATTATTCGTATTTCTATTAATAAATCCGTGACTTGTCAGAGATGGAGTGTGGCTTGAGGGAATTTTCCAGTGACGAAGGACAGCAAGTTACTCACCGTCTCCGTGGCAACTCAACCTCACTGTCAACTTCACCCTCCTCCTCTTCGGATGACACCCCACGCCTCTGTAGGAAAAACCAGAAAAATGTGCAAATCAGAAAACGCTCAGAAGGCATTCGGTGCCGTTTGTAAAGTGACACAGTAAAAAATGAACAGCAATGATTTGGTTTAATTATAGAGAACTAACTAAATATTTATCTTCCAATTTTATTTCCAAATTAAACATTTCATTTTCAAACTAAATGTTTAAGTTACTAGCTAAATATTTACCTAGTAACTAACAGCTCCAAATTGCGTTTTTATTTGATAACTAAATATTCAGTTTGCAAACTAAATATTTAGCTCCAAATTAAATATTGGAACGCTGACATTTATGAATGTGTAAATAATATGGTGAAAACATGACTTTGAAATTTGAACACAGAATTTTTTGTAATGAAATTATTAGGACTGTGACAATAACAAATGTTTCTTGAGGATAAATTGTCCCAGAAATTATTGCGATAAATGATCATATTGTTGTTTTGAGACTAGGGCTGTTGTAAACGAATATTTTAGTAATCGAGTAATCTATCGATTATTCTTACGATTAATCGAGTAATCG